AGTTGGTGAAGTAGAAGGCAAATTCAACCCCAAATGTAAAGTACATCACTGGAGCCCAGCTCCAGGGCAGCAAGGTCACATTCACTTCCCTCTGGGTGAGGAAAATCAAGGCTCCTCTGGAAAAGGGCCACAATTTTTCACTATTCTGTCAAGAACAGAGAGAGAACTTCTGACATGGAGACTCTCACAAGTCAAACTTCCATGATGTCAAGGCCATTTCGCTTTTCTCATTTTCTCTCCTCAAAATTCACACTCATGGCTCCACACATGGGAAGGGACTATATGTCTAAGTAAAGACCAACACAATTAATTAACCTGGGATTAACAGGATCACAGGTTCCCATTGCCTCTTTGGAAGTTATATAATTCAATTGTAAAAGTCTAACTATAACAACAACTACACAGTTGAGAGGAAAAACATTTGTTTAGGAAAACAAGCAGAAAAAACACCTCAAGTTTTTCCCTTTCTTGGAGGGAATTCAGAAAATATTGTACCTTGATGCTGTGTAAAAAATCTCCAGCAATTGGTGTAAGATTGTTTCAGTCACAAACCCAAAATCTGGCACCACAGCAGCTGCTGTGCAGAAAATTAACTGTAACCCAGTCAAAACCAGTACAGGGAACTCACAGGGAGAGTCTGGAAAGGCTTTCCCTTATGGGTTAAACCAGGAGCTGATGGAGCACATTCAAACCAGTCAGGGTTTTATGAGAGTGGCTGCACCTCAGAGTGGAGGAGCATTGCTGTACTCAGGGAAGAAATCCCTGTCAAAACACATGGCTGGCTCTAAGGGCCCAAAATCCCTCCTTGCCCCCTTTTCTCCCCCTTTTTCCAGCTGCAGCTCAGTTCAGAGCTGGCTGTTCAGAGCCAAAGCCACGTTTTGCAGATGCTCTGCAGGAAAAACCTTTGACACCTCCAAAGCTTTACAAATCCCAGGGCCTGTTAATCACCAGTCTGAGCCCATAATCCCAGCCCAGGCCCCACACTCAATGGGTTTTGCAGACTCTCCCCCACTGGCATTCTGCACCACAAATTCAGCATCAGTCAAACATCCTCCCCTGACAATATTTAGGGTGCACCACAAGATCAGGCTCCAACCCTGTGGCTTTTTGGGGTTTCCAGGATTTGGGAATTCCCATCCTCCAAAGCAGCTCTGCTGAAATAGGGAACATTTTTGACACAGAACAAGCTGGTTCATCCCAACCTTTCTAGGAGGGTGTGGAAATCAAAGAGAAGCAAGGTCCTGGCAGGTAAATCCCAGTTCCTGAGGCTGGAGCAGCTCTCTGCTCCTTGCCAGTCCTCCACAGGATCCTGCCCTGTCTGAGAGAGGTTTTGCTCCTTCATGAAGGCCAAAATGTGCTATTCCCAGTTAAAACCAGTAACACCCTGCCAGGTCTGGGCTGAAGGCTCCACACAGAGCAAATGCAATTCCTGCCTGGCTCAGCTGTCACAGCTTCCCTGGACAATCATCCACCTCACAGCTTCCCTGTAAAGTGAAAGGCTCAGAGGTGAATTTTACAGGATCTTTAAGTGATGTGGAAAACCCTAAACACAGCCTTTCATTTCCAAGCATCATGGAGAAAAAAAAAAAACATAGAATAGTAGAATCAGAATAGTTTGGGTTGAGAGGGACCTTTAAAGATCATCTAGTCCAGACCCCTCTAATGAGGGGGGCACCCTCAGGAACAATAAGGAAAAACAGATATTTAATGGAGTGACTGGATTTCCCTGCACTTAGCCCATCAAGCCAACATGCTTGGACACATCCATTCATGGGGACTCAGCTCTGAGTCACTGCTCACATCCAATGCTTCAGTGCCCAGCCTCAAATCCAACAACCTTGAGAGAGCCCCTCTGCCTCAAGAGCTCCTGTGCCTTCAGGCCTGTGGGCTGAAACCCTCACAAATTGAAAAACACACGGAGAAGGGCAAATGAAGCCATCCTCTAATTGCAGACTGCAGCAAAGCAAGCAATTTCTGTGATCAGTGACCTCTGGCCATTTGGGAATCAGCCCTGACAAAGTCCCAGCTCCAAAGCCCGTGGCTTAGATCATCTGTTCAGGTCATTTCACAGCTCTGGCCAAGCGGGAATTACAAGAGCATTTCACCAGAGAGTGAATTAATACACACAGCCCAGACACAGCCCTGCAATTCATTATGCTGATGGATCACAGCTCCTCACTTATCTCTGCACAAAAGGACCCCAAAAAGCCATCAGAAGCCTCAGCTGGAGGTCATGTGATGCATTTAACCAAATGGACTCTCTGGAATCACACACATTTCACTTGAGGGGCATAAATCCTGACAGGGACTGCCCAATGCATAGGAAGGAAGGGGTTGATATATCATTTATAGATCTGCAGCTACGTGAGCAGCAGCAGATAAAGGCAGGGAGAGGCTTTATTGGATATTCCCCCTCCCACATCCTCACAGTTCAGACAACTTGCAATTAAGAAGAGGATTAGGAGATTTGTGTTGGAGAGAAAGACCATGTTTGATAGCTCAGCCCAGCCAGTCAATAAAAGTGGCTTCTTTTTGCTGGATAGATTAAAAAATTATCACTGCTGTTTCCTCTGGGAGGAAATCTTTGTCCCCTCTCCCAATATCATCCACCAGGATGATATTTGCTGCGTACAAACAACAGAGGTTTGGAAGCAATAATAATAATTTTAAAAAATGCTTCCACACACTGACTTCATCATATCCTTGGTTGAATATGTGATGAACAAGCTGTGGTTAGATCAGAAATTCCTTCCTCACACCAGCTACAGAGATTTTAATGATCTGAATCTCAGCAAGACCATTTCTCCTCCTTCATGTGTCTTTCATTTAAAAAAACATTAAAAAAAAAAGTGAAAGGGGATCTTGCCATTAAAGCTGAGGGCCCACAATAGAAAAAAGGAATTTTGCAAATGTTCAAAATTTTAAAAGGAGATCAGAGTATATTGGCTGTGTGCCTCCAGCCCCTCTCCTCATCCTCAAAGGTCAGATAAAAGCAAAGGATAATGGCAATTCCAGGAAGCTGCCTCTCAAAAAATCCCCTAGAACTCAGGTGTCCAATTAAAATTCTCATTTTCATGTAATTTCTTAATGTGGAGTAGCAAGCTTGATGTGCATAGATTTGAAGGAAAAAGAGAGGAATCATTAAGATTCCGGCTGTTGAGGTGCAGCACAATTCAGACAACAAACACTCACAGGCATCAGCTAAAGAAATGGAGGAAAGGCTGGGTCATGATCCAAATTTGGATGAAAGCCTTTTATTCTGGGGAGTTTGATGTTTTAACAAAAAAGCAGGTAACGCAGCCTGCAGCTCATTTTGGGCTTTCTTCTCCTACTCCTGCTGCTGTCTCCATCTCTCCTTTACCAAAGTGAGGCCTCACAACGACTTGACAAAGACCAGCTCACACTGGACATGTTTTAAAGCCTGGATCAGCTACCTTTAAACACAATGAATTCCTTTCCAGCACTAGCAAAAACCAATGGAAATTCCTGGCAGACTTGGAAAGCTGCCACTGATATTTTTTGGTAATGCAAGCAGAAGTAGATTTCACTGAAAAATTCATGGCAATTTTTCTGTAGTTTTTTAGCTTAGAACTGCAATATTCTGCTGGCTTGAAATGGTCACCCAAACCAAGCTGGAAGCAGAGGGAAAACAGCACCAACATTCTTACTTTGCAAAAGGAAATTTTGTTTTTAGGCTGCACAAACTCCAGGCGTGACTTTGCAATCACAGGGGAGCTCCTGGCCAAGCTGCACCACCAACAACGGCTGCAATTCACAACCAGGACCATTTCTGACACAGGATCTGCCACACAGCCCTGGCTGCTCCCTCACAGCTGCTTTTGCAAGAGGAAAAGCACTCCAGAGCCAAGAAGATCCCTGTTATAGGCTTAAAAACAGAACAGAGGAGCCCAAGCAATAGGAGAGAGAAATTAAGCATTCAAAAGGCAACCAAAGGGTCCCCTGGGAGCACTTCCAGATGAAACAGGATTTAAAGAAGGAAAAAAAACCCCAAATTTAACAACTTGTAAGCACACTTTAAAAAGCCATTCCAGGCAACATGTACAGGAGAACAGTAAAACAAAATCCTTACCCAGGTGATGTAACAGGGTGCTTTTGACAGCAATATTTTCACACTTTTCCTATCAACACATCACAAGACCTCATCTCCCAGCCCAGAACACGAGGGGAGGTGCAAGTTGAGCCTGGATTCCCTCTGGCAGAGCTCCTACAATCTGTATTTATCCAGGGGAGGGAAGAGTCACCTCCAACAGCCTTCCCATTCACACCCAACTTGCTCTCACCTTCTGCTGCCTTCCATTGAACCCCACAAGGGTTTGGGCTGGAAGGGACCTTAGAGGTCATCCAGTGTCACCCCTGCCATGGCAGGGACACCTTCCACTATGCCAGGGTGCTCCAAGCCCTGTCCAGCCTGGCCTGGGGCACTGCCAGGGATCCAGGGGCAGCTCTGGGCACCTTTTTCCCCTACCTACAAACTCATTGTTACACTCAAGAACAGGATTATAGAGGTTGGAAAAGACCTCCAAGATCACCAAGTCCCTTCTGGGGCCAAAAACCACCATCAAGAACAGAACCATAAAGGTTGAAAAAGACTCCAAGATCACCAAGTCCTTTCTGGGACCAAATACCACCATGCCTACTGAAACCACACCACGAAGGCAGGGATTCTGCAGAAACACAGAACTTACATATCCAGCCAAGGGTGCTGCAAGCACCAGCAGGAGTCAAAAGCCACAAGGAAAGTGTTCCCCTTTAGCCCAATGTAAACAGTTTTGGGCACTTTCAGTCCCCTGGAGCCCCATGACCAACCTCACTGTGCCCATCTCTACACCGACCATACGGGGACGGCCTCCTGCCGTGGTCAACAACTCCCATCCAACATCCAAGCCAATACATAAGGAAAAACCCCCAAATCTCTCATCCTTCCGAGCAAGAAGCCATCAGGAGGGGGACGGGGTGGCAGCAGCCCTGTCCCTGCTCACCTTGGTGGTGTCATCATGTGACCGCTGGTACCGTTTCCAGCGGCAGCCGTAGATCCCGGTCAGACAGGACAGACATAGCTGGGGCTCGTAGTACTGCAGGGGTTGGTGCTTGACCATGCTCCTTCCAGCCCCTCCTGAGCCTGCTGCCACTAATCCATCAGCTCCTGGGAGCGCCCTGGGGCAAAGCAGAGGAAACAACAACAACAAAAAAGGAAATTAAAATCCCCGGCGATATTTCAATACGTTAACAAGCAATTTAATAATTAACCGTGTCCTCTGGCTGCTGAGAGCAGGGATGAGAATCAGATCTGTTCCCAGCCCGGCCAACATCTCCCACTCGTTACTCAACCAGACCAAGAAGTTTAATTAGTCTGCAGGTTTGGTTTCTTCCTGCAGCTTCTCCCACACCACCAAAAGCAAAGTGTACATCAGGGAAAGCCACGTGAGGACAAAAGCAGCAGGATGAGGATCTGCACCAGGTGACTGGGTTCCTATGAATGACTGAAGTGAAAAGAGACAGAGCTTCTGCAAGAACAACCTGAAAATCAATTCAGAGACCTCCACAGAGCTGAGGCTGAGCCAAGCTAAAGCAGTTTGGTGTCAGCATCCCATGGATGCCTGCAAAACAGCCCCAGACAAGGAATAATCACTTCCATGCAGAAGGAGCATCACAGAATCAGGGACTGTCCTGAGCTGGAAGGGATCCAGCAAGGACCAAACTTCTGGACAGCCCCAAGAATATGGAATACAGAGTGTGTATACACAAAATGTGTACTACAGATATTGCCCTCTCCCTTTATAAGCCTCTCAAGCACTCCCAGGATGCAGAGCTGGATGCTGTGCTTGGTCCCACAGCACAGGTTTCCCACAGCTTCCTGCAGCCCAGGTGGGTACCCACAGCCCCACACAGCCCTGTGTGCATCACCACAGGCTGGCAGTGGGGTTTGGCAGCAGCTGAGCCTGCACAGTGCGTGCCCCCTTTCCTGAGAGAGCAGGGCTGTGTGCAGGGTGTGTAAATCCACCCTCTCCTGGGGAAACACTTTGCTTCCTTACATGTGGGATTCCCAGGGCTCAGGTCTGGGGCAAAGTTGTGACAGCTGAGCAGCAACACCCTCACTGGCATCAGCAAAGCATGGCTGGGCTTAGGGAGATAAACCAGCCACCTAAAGGTTTTCCTTGGCACATCCCATGGAAGGAAGCATGCACAAGCAGGGCTGACTGTATTTGTCACTCCAGCTGATGCAGCAGGGGATGCTGCAGGCAGTGCTGGAGTCTGGAAATGTCAGCAGGGACACAGAGAGCTCACCCCTCCCAGCCCCTGTCTGTCTGTGTCCATTCACACTCTGTGCTGACAGCCCAGGGCAGCCTTGCCCTGACACTTTAATCAGGACTCAGCGTCCCAGAGGCTGTTGTGGCTGCAGAGCTGTCACCAGGCTGTCCCCAGAG